ACACACACACACACACACACACACACACACACACACACACACACACATGCACGCACACACGCAATTAACATATGCAAGTTAAAGCACAGAAATAAAGAATTAAAATATAAAAAGACTAATTTTTGAAATCATCTGCTTCTTAACGATTCAATTCATTTATATAGAGTTGATTCACAACAAAGGTCATCTCAGGACACACTGTAAAAAAAATATTCACACCCGTTATTAAATGCCAGTTCATAAAATGTTACCCATTTATTCAAGTTCAAGTTTCTTTATCGTCATTCACATCACATGTGGTACATGAGGTGAAACTAAATTGTGTACTCATGGTCCCAGTTACATCCAAAAATAGCACAAATATAAAGTATAAAAAGAAACAGTATACAAGGATCTAAGATATAAACTAAACACTAATATTTTAAAACAATACAGCGTGACAACAGCAGCCCGAACATGAGTCTGTAGTGAGAAGATGGATATAAATGAATACAGTGGCATGAGATGATCAGCAGCATGAGATCAGCAGCAAGGATAACCAGCTGCACAGATAAGTCACATATCACCAATTAAAGTGGCATTACAGTGATTTTATTTAATTTTTCCCTTACAGCGATTATCCTGGTTAGAGATTCATGAGTCTAACAGCTTCAGGGTAGAAGCTGTTCCTCAGTCTAGTGTTTCTACACTTACTGCTCCTCAATCTTCTGCCTGAGGGGAGCAGCATCCTTTAATCTTTAAGAAGTAGAAGTTTATTAACTGAAAGAGCACATTTTCCAGATCAGTTCATTTTATTTACTGCAGAGGACTCAGACAGATGTAATCAAGTTTAAAGACTCAACAGTGTTAAAAACAAAAAAACAATCATTGCAGATTTAGTTTAACACATTTAATCGTGAAAAATTAAAATGTTCCAGCTTGTTGATTTATTTTTTCTCTTGTGTGTAAATATAAATGGAAGTAATGCCGACATGTTTTTGATGGTAAAAAACGGAGTGTGGTTCCAGATTCCCTCCGGGCTGATGTCACCAGGTTCAGTTTCTGATTGGCTGGACGGCTCCCAAGAAAAGATGAAAGGCTTTTTATCTGACAACAAGACAGTCTGTCAATAAACAACAAGCTGCTGCTGCTCAGTCATCAAAGGTGGGTTCAGTGCACGTGTGTGCGTGCGCTCCTGTACTCGTTTATGTTACTTTGTGAGGACCATTTCTGAACACCTACTACATTGTGAGGACCAAAGCCTGGTCCCCATAAGGTTCAAGTGTCGTTTGTGGGTTAGGTTGAGGACTAAGGTGTGACTTGAGAATGGGTTATGTTTAAGTATGTACTGGTAATAGTTAGGTTTAGGTATGTACTGGTAATGGTAAGGTTTAGGGTCAAGTATGTACTGGTTTTCTTGTAAATGAGTCCCCAAGACTCAATGGGATTAACCTGCATAAATAAAGGTTGAATGAATGGTAATGGTTAGGCTCGGGGTTAGGCTATAAAAATGAATGAAAAATTCTTGGTCGACTCACATCTCTCTTTTAAGCTCCATGTCGAAAACTTGGTAAAGAAAGTGAAAGTTAAACTGGGTTTCTTTTTCAGAAACAGATCCTGTCTAACTCTGAATGCTAGGAAACACCTTGTGTCTGTGACTTTCCTTCCCTCCATTGATTACGGTGACATTATTTACATGAACACTCCTACAAGCACCCTGCAGATGTTGGATGCTGTCTATCATGGTGCACTAAGATTCATAACTGGCTGTGATTATCGTACCCACCACTGCACCCTGTATTCACTGGTTAACTGGACATCATTAACTTCACGCAGACTCTCCCACTGGTACATTTTCATCTTTAAATCACTTCTTGGTCTGTTGCCTTCATACATCTCCTCCTACATGTCTCTGCGTGAGTGAACTTACAGCATGCGCTCTCAGGACATTATTACCTGCAGTGTTCCCTCAATGAGGACTGAACTAGGCAAAAGGGCCTTCTCCTACTCTGCTCTTGTTTCCTGGAACATCATACAAAAAGATTTGAAGCTCTCGACCTTGACCTCTCTTAAGTGGATTTAAGAATCTATTGGACTCCTGGCAGGGACCAATGCAGACATGTTCCTGATTTTAGTTTTCTACATTCGCCTTAGAATCTAGCTGTTTTTGTTGCTGTTTTTGCCATCTTATTTGTAAAAAATAAAATAAAAAAATCTGTATGTCTTTTTTGTGGCTGTCTATTCTTGTTGCTGTTGCCCATTGTCATTCTTTGTTAAAATCAGGTCTCTCTTGTAAATGAGTCCTCGAGGCTCAATGGGATTTACCTGTCTAAATAAAGGTTGAATGAATGAATGAATGTAAGTCGAGGCAAAGTCCACGTAAAGACAGCAAGACAAACCTGTGTATGTGTGTGCATGCGTGTGTGCATGTGTATGTGTGTGGGTGTGTGTGTTCAGGCCCAGGTGGTCTGGTCCATCAGAAGTGTCTAGAGCGAGTCAGAAATAAATAACTTAAGAGGTTGTAGTGCGCTGAATGAAATGATGGCAAACTAATGCCCCTTTTCCCATTAGTAACGGTACCTAGTACCTTTTTTCAGAACTTTGGTTTTTGCACCATTTGCACTGCCCCTAACAAGCCCCAATTCTGGGCAGCTCGCCACAAAAAGAACCCTTTAGCACCAGTACTTTAGCTAGTATTTTTAGCTGATTTGAGGCTGATTCAGGACCTCTTTTCATCCCTGCTTCTCTGGTGGGACCGAGCGAGCTCAGCCGAGCTGAGTCCGGACCAAAACGTGAATGCAGGTCACAGATTGGTCAGGGGGAGGAGTCACTGGATCTCAGAAACTTTTTTTGTGTTTGGTGACAGACAACAAAAATTTGAGCGAGCGGTGTCACCGCAGAGGATCATACGAGCTGCCAACATGCTGAAGCACGTAGGTCCGGCCTCACGTGCTCACAAAGGCCAGATTCGAGCCCTGGCAGGCGGGAGGACCGGGACAGAGGGTAGAAATGTTTTTTTGTTTTTTTTTTTAAACATTTTATGTATAAAAAATAAGTTGTTTTTATCAGTAAAGATTAAAAATAAATAAACGGTGCCGGCTTCATCATGAAATCCTGTTTTCCCTTTGACTTTATTAAATAATCTGTTAATTAAAGTGAACTCAGCTGAAAAATAAAAAAACAAAATTATTGGATCTCTCAGGAATATTTCTCTCAAACATGTTTAAAGAAGAGACACAGCCTTTGGTTCAACTTTATTTTAACACACAGATGTACAAACCACAAAACAAGAATTACCCTTTAAATTAAAGCTTTAAATAAAAGCTAAACTTTTTTCTTTTTTTTTGGTTTTGTTTTTTGAACGTCCAGAGAACCAGATTAACTTTTTACATTTAAATATAGATGTTTTTGTAGAATTTGGTTCATCAGATTTATTTCAGTTCAGTTTATTTATACAGTACCAAGTCACAACAGAAGTTGTCTCAGGGCAATGAACAGAAATATTCATATATAAAAATAATAATTTTAACATTATTTATCTGAGGAGCAGACTGCTTTGAGTTCAACTCATCGCAGAATGATGGATTCTGGACACGCCTCCAGAATGAGAAAAGTGTAGGTGAAAATCCAGGCTGAGCTGAGCTGAGGCTGATTAGTAGTAGTGCAAATGGGGCATTTTGTGGTTCCAACCGGGCCGAGCAGGTACCAAAATGTGACGTCAGAACACTGTCAGTCACTGATTGGTCAGGGGGAGGAGTCACTGGATCTTTCAGAAACTTTTCACACCGATCCGTCATTTGCAATTACTTGGAACTCAGAGCAACAGATGGACCTATTTTAAAGATTTATAAAACGCTAATGACAACACCATGGTCTAATGCTGAAGTGCAGGTGTTTTTTGTGCTTGGTGGCTAACAACAAAATTCAGAGCGAGATAGATGGAGCTCCACTGGTCTCCCCGGCCCTTTCCCCTGGAGCCTTGGAACCAGGCTGGGTAGGGCTTCATATCCCCGGCTACATATACATATATGTATATGTATATGTATATTATATTATATATGTATATATATATATGTGTCCTGGGTCCAATCCCCGGTTAGACCTGGGGTCTTTCTGTGTGGAGTTTGCATGTTCTTCTCGTGCTTGCGTGGGTTTTCTCCGGGTACTCTGGTTTCCTCCCACAGACAAAAAACATGCATGTTAGGCTGCCTTCAGGCCCAGGCTTCCCTTGCAAAAGAGATATGCGAACTCAATGGGATTTCCCTGGTTAAATAAAGGTTAATAAATAAATAATTCCTTCTATGGTCCATTTCTGCATGATGTGGTCCTGTTGGTGTTATTTGCGCCATGGCACAAGGGCTGCACAGCTGGAGAGAGAAAAGCTCAGCAGAGAGTGGTGAAGGCTGCACAGAAGTCTGTTTGAGTCAGTCTCCCCACCATCACAGACATCTACACCTCTAGATGCAGGAAGAGAGCCACCTGCATCATGAAGGACCCCACTCAGCCAGCACACACACTTTTTGCCTCCCTCCACTCAGGCAGAAGGTTACAGAGCATTACATCTTAAAATACTAGACTGAGGAATAGCGTCTACCCTGAAGCTGTTACTCATAAATCCCTAATCAGGAAAATCACTGTAATGCCACTTTAATTGGTGATATGCTACTTTATCCATCCTCCTGATTTCTTGCCTTTAAGCTGCCAAATTCATACACAGTTGCTCATAACAGACTCATGTTCAGGCTGCTGTTTAATACACCACATTATCTTGCATTATTATTATTTAGCGTATATCTTAGATCCTTGTACCGTATACTGTTACTTTTTATACTTTTTTTTTCTTTCTTCTATTTTGGGTATAACTGGGACCTTGAGTACACAATCTTGTTCCACCTCATGTAGCACATGTGATGCGAATGACAAAGAACCTTGAACCTTGATCTTCAGCTCTCACTGGAGTAGTTTGCAGCAGAGTGAAGTGGCTGGGATGAGAATCAGCATCTCCAAATCTGAGACCATGGACATCAGCAAGAAAAGGGTGGATTGCTCTCATCAGATTGAGAGTGAGGTTCTGCCTCAAGTGGAGGAGTTCTAGTATATCAGGGTTTTGTTCACAACTGAGGGAAGTATGGAGAGTGAGATTGACAGACTGATTGGTGCAACATCTGCAGTATTGCAGACTCTGTAAATGTATGTGGTAGTGAAGAGGGAGCTGAGCTGTAAAGCAACGATCTCAGAGAGAAGGAACATAGACTGACCTGTAAACACTTATCTCACTTAGGGGCAGCTGTGGCTGAGTGGTTAAAGCAGTCTTCTTCCAATGAGAGAGTTGGGGGTTCGATTCCACCAGCAGTCACATACCCAAATGTCCCTGGGCAAAGCACTGAAACTCTCATTACCTCCGGTGTGTGTCCCATTGGTGTATGAATGTGATAAGGCACCGATTAATCTCTACAGATTCAGATTAGCTTTGTAGAAATCTTGTAGAGTGCTGTATGAATGGGTAAATGTGGGCACAGATTGTGTTGTAAAGTTCTTTGAGTATTTTGACAAGATAGAAAGGTGCTATTTAAGTACAGTCCATTTACCATTTACTTATGACCACAAACTCTGGGTAGTGACAGAAAGAATGAGATTGTGGATACAGGCAGTTGAAATGAGTTTCTCTGCAGGGTAGCTGACCAAAGTGGTTCAAAACATCCAGATTCATGCTCAAGGCTATGACTCCCTCAAAAGAGTCAGAGGGGGAGAGGGCGGACTACATAAACCATCTTAGCACTATCAAACTGGTTGACCCACTATGTGAAGGTTTGTTTGTTTTTGTCATTTTTACTCATTTCATATTTAAAACACAAAAACAATTTAGAAACCAAATGAAAAAAAAAAACGTGTCATAAAATGAAAGGTAGCAGAAGAAGAAAAAATCTTATCATATCTGCCCCTTGTTTAAAACAAAATCAATTCAAACAATAATCATCTATAATATAACAAAATAAATAACTCATCACAATTTTACGTATTTATATGCATCTTTCCAAAATTTTAATCTTAATCATTTTCTTAAATATAGGCAATGACTTTACTTTTTTTACATCATTTTCCAAACTATTCCACAGACCTATTCCCTGAATTGAAGTAGACCGACCCTTTAAACTGGTTCTGTACTGTGGTTTAACAAAAATGTCTGTTCCCTTAAGATTATAGCAAGGTGCCATTTATAAGACTGAGTTTGGTGTGGCTTCATGGACTGATGAAGTCTTTTGGATGAAAGACAAAATGTTTCAACAAAAAGAAACCGTCCAGAGGATCTGACTTAATTTGCTGTAATGTTGGATCATTTTCCTCAACAAATACATGACCAGGTATAATATTTTTGTTTCATTTGTTTAACTGGATTCTCTTTATCCAATTTTAGGACATGTGAAAATCTGATGATGTTTTAGGTCATATTTATGCAGAAATGTAAAAAATCCTATAGGGTTGACAAACTTTCAATCAGAATCAGTTTATTATTGCCATGTCAATGAACGAGGTTCACAAACTAGGAATTTGCTTCGACATAAAGGTGTGAATAGTAATAAAGCAAAATAAAGTAAAAATGAAAACATTACATAAAACATGTGTACACCCATAAATAAAGTAAAACTGAAAACATA